TACCCCAGAAGTGCATTAATGTACATAGTTACCATTCAATAAAAAAAAAATAAAAAATAAATAAATTAATTTTTAAAAAAAAGTATTCACTGAGTACCTATTGTGTTCCAGGATCATGCTGGGAAACCAGTGGTGAGTAAAAGAGCCCCACTGCCTGCCAACAAGGAACTTATCACTCTTAACTTTAGAATAACCAGGAATCCAACTTTTAAAATAAAACGTATCACTCTTAACTTTAGAATAACCAGGAATCCAACTTTTAAAATAAACAAAAAGAGATTTCTCACTTCTATAAGCCCTAAAAAATAAAGCTGTCCATAAAATAGTCTTTTGAGATTTTGCAGTTTTTTTTTGCATTCTAGTATCATAGGTTAACGCTGAATACTCACAGATATGTAAATATAAAAACAAATTCTGAAGTTAGAGAAATCCTGTACATCAAGGTACTTTCTGAAATTCAGAACACTAACAAAGAAAATACATGCATTTATTATAGTAAAATGAAACTCAGTTTTAAAAGAATCATCATAATCTAAAAATAGCTTTTCCTCTGAATTACAAACTATGATCACATATCCTGCATACTGGTAAAATTTCTTTTCTAAATTTTTTCTTTCATCCATATTACTAAGCAAAATGGTAGCTGAGCATCAAGGGGCAATAGGCTCACTTGAATTAAAACTGCAAAGCTTCTTGGCTACTTAATATATTAAAAATTAATTAATCACTGAATATTGCTTACCTTATAATCTCTGGATACATTTTCTGATGTCACTGAACCTGAAATCTGACTAGAAATTGTAGCTGCTATAAGCTGTTTACACCATTCAACATGTGATCCTGTAGGACTAAAAGAAATAGCATTATTAAAAAACTTCAAAATGTAGGCTCTTGTTGAAAAAATGAGCACTAAATAGGAATATATGCACATTTCTTTTTAGATTAATGAACTTTTATTACACTATTTGGTTACTTTTACATTTAACACAAGAATTGAAATAGTGATTGACAAGTAGGAAGTAAGATTAGGTCTCAGATTAATTTTAAATGACTCACCAATGATTTTAAAAACCAAGTTTAAGATTCTAGTTGTTAGACAGTTTGACTAACTATTCTCTCTCACTTATTGGAATTTTACTCTATTACAATTATATGGAAGAAATATTCTTAATATAATGTATATAGAGAATGAATTCTAAAGTGAAATACTTATCTTACAGCATATGATTTTCAAACATTCAATCAATTTTGTACTATAGTTTTAAATCCAGAAAGTAGTGTACTTTTGAATGAACTAAAGAGACTCTTAGTGGAGTAAAGCTGATCATGTGATTTAATAAAGAATAGACTAGAAAAATGACATTGTATGTGTAGTACTAACACTACCTTATATTTCAGTAAGTGCTCTGAGAATTTACAAAAGGCTCTTCCAGATTTATTATAATCGATCAGATTCTCACAACAATGGAGTGGCAAGAAGGCAGAACAGGAAATAGCCAACTTGTTTTTGAGAAGAAAAAACTGAGGCACAGAGGGGACATTCCCTGTTAGAAAGTTGCTGTCCTTTCATATCACTACCAACCTACAGTGGCTGATCCACTGACCTGAAGCCAGCAGCACACATGCTAGCCAATTGTCTTAAATGAAAACACAACAATGCAAAGAAAAATAGCATCTTCTACTTCCACAGTGCTCTGAAGTGTTCAAAGCATTTCTCTACCTGTAGCTTCACCCAGCCTCACAGTGACCCATTTTACAGATGAGAAAATTTCCAGAAAGGCTCCGGTTTTGCCTACAGTCACATAGCTGGCAAGTGGTCAGGCTGTGCTCACCTGACCTAAAGGACCATAAAAGCTAACTAGGCAGTTAGAGAATTAACAATTGTCCATAGGGGCCAAGCTGCTATCCCAATTCATCAAGACACTGAAGAAATCAAGCTAGCAGGCAAAAGATGCTTATGAAAATTTACCTTGCAGGTAACTGTCACTTTAAATTGCATTTCAGGCCTTTAAAAAGTCACATCACTTATTAAGTCCATACTCACGTATCTGAAGGACAGAAACACCAGGCAATTCATATAAAATGACCTAAACAGTAAAATATAGAAAAGGGATGTTCTGTGCTAGTAACCTAAATTCCAGTCTATAATCAAGACAGCCCAGAGGTTGTCTGTGTGGTTGAAAATATAAGTAAAAGCACTTGCTGTGTGGGCAGAAATCTTTGTCACATGCCAGGAATCTATTTACCGCAATTTTGAACTATGAGAGAGAGGAAAGGAAAAAGAAGGAATTTGGATTTCCCTTTTATAGGCTAAGTCACTTTTACTGGCTGCTTATATCACACCGTCCTTGTCATAATGCCTTTTTCTCTGTCACTACCCATCCAGCTGCATGTAGGAAGAAACTGTAGAAACCCAACTACTGACCATGAGTAACCTGTTATTACCATCTGCACCCCATCCCTCCCCCCTTTTTCTGATAAGGACACTTCTCTCTACTTTGGGGAACTGCCTTCCCTGACTTCATAGGATAGGATTCTGTGCAGGAAAGGAAAGGAGAGGGCTGATTGCTTCCTCCTCCTGCCCCCATGTATAGGTGAGTTACCCAAGCTTGGACAATCCCAGGCTTTCCACTTAGATCCTGAGCAGTGCGGATGTGACCCAGAGATGCTGGAGGCCACTCTCTACCCTGACCATCTTGAGGAACCCACAGAGATAAAAAGTGAGACCAAAAAAAAAAAAAAAAAAAAAAAAAAAAAAAAAACTGAAAGATCTGTGGTCCTGTTCCTTTGAGGAA